GCCTCTGCCACCAGCGCCGCACCGTCTGCCTCCGCACACCCCAGGTCACCTGCCAGGCGGCCTCCAACGTGCTGGTAAAAACCGTCAGCTTCATGAAAAACCTCCCGTCCTTCCACCTGCTGCCACGAGAGGATCAACTCCTGCTGCTGGACAGCTGCTGGGTCCCCCTTTTCCTCCTGGGGTTGGTTCAGGAGATGGTGACCTTCGAGGTGATGGAGACCCCAGCCCCCAGCATGCTCAAGAAGATTCTCCTTGATGGTCAAAGCCAACAGCAGGAGCCTGAGCGGACGCAGCCCACGCTGGCTGCCGTCCAGAGGCTGCAGTGCTGCCTGAACACCTTCTGGAGCCTGGACCTGAGCCCCAAGGAACACGCCTACCTGAAGGGAGCCGTTCTCTTCAATCCTGGTGAGTGCCTGGCCCTCGGGGCTCTGCGTCGTTAGCGCTGCGTCCATCTCATTAGCGTGGCCTCGGAGATCCCTTGTGAGAAATAGGGAATGGTGGGAATGGGAGAAACCTGGGGCTGTTTTCCAGCCTCTCTCATCATCCATCACCTTTTCCTCCTCTCCCTTGGTAGATGTCCCCGGGCTGAGGGCTTCCCTGTACATCGAGAGCCTCCAGCGGGAAGCCCAGCGAGCGCTTCAGGAGGTCCTGCAGCCCCTGCACCCCGAGGACCCGGGCCGCTTTGCCCGCATTTTACTGATCGCCTCCACCTTGAAATCGATCCCTCCCGCCCTCATCACGGATCTCTTCTTCCGACCCGTCATTGGCAACGCGGACATCGTGGAGCTGATGGTGGAGATGCTGTAGGAAATGTGCGGTGTGCTGAGCAGCCGCGCTCAGCCACCGGCCCCGTGGATGCTCCCCGTGCCTCACCAGGCAGCCAAGGAAATCTGGGAGCGGGGATTTAGCCAGACAAGCACTCTGGACTCTGCAGGGACTGCGTGCTTTGGTGGGGCTGAGGCAGGAGGATTCAGCCAGGCTTCAGCAGAGCGTGTGGAGAACGGGCTCTGGTTCAGCAGATGTTTACAGCAGCTCCTGCCAGTCTCCGTTTCAGGGAGCGTGTGTGGTGGTGATGGGTTTCTTTCCCTGTTGTGTAGCCTGCAAACAAGCCCCAGAGCAGGTCGGGTTAGAGCCTGGTCCTGGTTTTTACTCAGTGATTCCTTGGCCCGTTGAAATCAACGTGCGTTTTGCTGTGAACTCCCAAGAGATGAGGTTTCTCCTCAGCTAACAACTTGATTCTGCAGTGTTCAGGCACACTGAATACCCCACATCTGCAGTGGGATCGCTGACTGAGCACAAACATGATGGAATTAGGTCTGGGGGAAGTCCTGGTCTGTCTGTCATGCTTGGAATCTTAAAAATACCCATGAAAGATCTTCCTCAGGCAGCAAGAGGGAAAACCCAGAGTATTCAATCTTAGAGTGTGCAGATTCACCTCTCTTACTTTTTCTTAGATTGGATCTTTTCTCCATAACGCCATAAAATACAACAGAACTGCTCACAGGGCAGTGGGGGGGGTACCTAAAATCACCAAAACCCATCACACATCACCTTGGGCTGTGGGCTCACCTCTGTTTGGGTGACAGCAAGTGAACCCCGAGCTGTGAATGCTGCAGAGATGAGCGGAGCTGGTTTGGTGGTAGAACCAAACGTCTCTCCCTGGAGTTACAGCCGGGAGCACGCGTAGCACACCCCGAAAGCTTGATCCTCCCACCTGCAGCTCCTGCAACAAGTTAAATGTCAGTATTTTATACATGAACATTCTTGTGGTTTGTATATAAGATGCAGTAAATTATTTTTTTAATAAAATGGTTTCCATTTTGGAACACGGTGGTGACTTTTTAAGAGATGGTGTTTAAATTTCTAAGGGGTTAAAATAACCAACTGCAGAACCAGCGTGGAAAGGATGCTCAAAAAAAAAGAGGCTTTCCATAAAAATCCATCTGCCTCACCACGGGGAGGGAGCGGTGTGATGTGGACATCCAGTGGGATGAGCAGCCCCGTGGCACACAAACCCTCCGTGCACCCAGCAGACAGAAATATGCAGAGGCAGCGGAATCACAGCCCGTCCAGGGGTTGAGCCTCACCCGCAGGGTTCCTGGCCCAGTCAGAGGTGGATGTTGTGACTCACCTGGACGCGCACGAAGCTGCCAACAGGTACAAACACCATCAAACCATTCGCCGTGCCCGACCCAGCCGAGGTGTCAGGCACGAAGCCTCCCTGTGCCCCGTCACCCTCCTGCCCACAGAGACACCTCGAATTTTAGCCGGTGGGAGGAAAAACTGCTTTGTCAGTCTGTCCCTCCACCTCTCACCGCCGCTGCCGAGCGGTGACAGACAACTTCCAAGGTGATCTCAGCCCCATGACGGCCGTTTTCCATGGGGAGGGAGGGTGTGAGTCACTGGATGATTTCTGCAGGCCCACGCCAGCCACGGGCAACCCTGAGCCACACGGCCTGATGATGCGTGTGTGAGTCAAGGCACACGGGATGCCCAACAGCCCCACTGCCAGACTGACCCCAAACCGGGCACACAGATGCTTCGGTGCAGCGGGGAGTCCCTGGCACCTCCATCCTGCCACTGTCCCACCACCCCTCAGGGACAGGGGATTGCTGTGGGATCAGTGTGGGCTCCTGTTTGGTGTGGGACCCACCCATATCGCTGCCCATGAGGCAGATCTGACACCACAGGGCCACCTCTCCACGGTGGGACACGCAGCGCTGGGACTTTACCAAGAGGCCAAGGCCAGGACCCCTCATGTGGGGCTGCACTGCGTGGTAGTGGGGGTAACTGGACATCTCCAGCACCCTGCCACCCCCAGGGCCTGTGACCCCTGCTGGGAACTGGCCACCCTCAT